CCTGATCGCCTGTTTTGGAGGTGGCTGAATTAGAAGTATATAGGATACTTTTTTAAAATTTGTATTTCCTGGATATAATCTGGATCAAACACCATGGATCTGAATGTTTCAAAAGCTTTTGAGTCGCCCCCACTGCCGCCACCCAAATTATCCTTTGAAAAGACAGAGCAGTCTTCTTTTTAAGTCCTTATATCTCATGCCATGGAACACCCTCGGTTACTTTATTCTGATAGCAAAGGACTGTTTGCGGGGGCACGGAATAAAGTAGCCTGAAAACTGGGAACGATGTTTACAGAGGTCACCCAGCAGAATCTCATGTCCTGACATGATGGAGAGAGAGCACTCTGGCCCCTTCATTCCCTTATATGGGCGCCGAACCCATCACAGGGGCTCCCCTCCCATGATCTTATCCAAACCCAATTAATTACCTCTCAAAGCCCTGCCTCCAAATACCATCACAGTGGGGATTAGGGCTTCAACATAAGAACTTGGGAGGGACACCAATATTCAGCCCACAGCAATGGTCCTGCAATAGCCAATTAGCTCCTGCCTTTGCCTCCTGAGGGCAGGTGGTATTTCCCAGCAGAGGACTGTAATAGTTTGGCTGGTATGAAGGTGATAAAGAGGAATTGTTGTGGGGTATCCTAGCAGTTGATATGGTGAAAACACTCTGCAATGCTAACTCAATTTTTTGCAGTACTTCAGAGAGCACGAATGAAAGGGAAGACAAAACAGTGTGGGTCAGAAGCTGGGTCCTGTGATGCTGAAGTGTATACTGTTCTGTTCTTCTATCACCTGTCACTCATGGGAAGTCAGGTGCCTGGGGAGGTGCTTTGATACTGTGAGGCCAAGAAGGCATCTGTTGATGCACCAGGCATGCTGAGAAAAGCAAATCATCTTTCAGTGCACTGACACCGGTGAGTTAATGCAGCTGTTAGGCATGAGGCACCAGGGAGAGTGGGAGGCAAAGGAAAACTGTCTTGGTGAGCTGCAGTGTCTCAGCCTGGCCTTGCCACAGCTGCGAGACAGTAGGGAATAAATCATTTTCACCTTGGCTCCCTGTTCTGTTCAATGAGATTGTTGAGACCTGCCTTGAAGAATGACAATTAGAAATAATCCGAGAGGTTTGAGAAGACACAACATGATATTAATAATTTCAATAATTTTGTTATTTATTTTTATTTTAAGAACAAGATCAGATAACTTTTTTTCACCTACAAGATCTTAATACAATAAAAGTCCACTTAAAAGCCTTCATCATTTTTCGCCCTGGCCGCCAGTTGATTAGAGCACCATCCCACACACTGAAAGTCATGGATGGGTCTGGTCCCATCCCGGGGCAACTACAGAAAGCAACTAATCTTTCTTTCTCACACTGATGTGTCTCTCTCTCTCTCAAATCAACAAACATATCCCCAGGTAAGAATTGCAACAACAAAAAAAGCTTTCCAAGGGATTAATTGGATGAAATGAAAGACAGAGAAGTTTCAAATGATTCATTAGTAAAACTGTCCTTTCAATTATAAAATGACTTTTCCAGGAAATCGATAAAACTGCTGTTACCAGGACAAATAAATACCTCAAGGATCTTTAGACCTTTCCTGTATCACTTGTAAGTTCATCTTTTTCAAATTAAGTTCAGGGTCCCAAATATTAATTTGGTTCCTAAAATGTGAAAGTTGCCTCACTAGGTACTGGGGATAGTGAGATAAACTGGCAACAGGACAAAAATGGGACATTTGAATTGCCATGAAAGCAGCTGAAGGGATTGATAAAAACTGGCCTGTACAGTGGCAATTAAATAGAAACATGAGGCTACTAACAATACAAAGCAATTTCTTTTTCGAATGAACATTCATTTGTTATGATCAAACATTTTCTTCTTCCTGTACTTGGAAATTTTGCTTTAAACCAGGGATTTTTCAATCTCTTTTATCTCATGGAACACATAAACTAATAACTCAAATTCTGCAGCACTTTAAAAAATATATATTTTGCTGATATGGCAAAAATAGATATAATTTTGATTTATTCACACCAGAGGGCTATTGTTGTGTTGGGTGTCGTCTTTTTTAATTTGACAGTCTAGGGAAAAAGAGGTCAGTGCCCCTAACTAAACAGTGAAGTATTGCATATTTTGAAAATTATTGTGGCACACTGGTTGAAAATTGCTGCTTTAAACTCATATAATTCATATATTCAAGTTTCATAAAATAGAACACATCAAGTTACTGATTATGGTAAGTATATAAATTCAAGTACTTAACAATTTAACATAAGCTACATTATTGTTTACTGGGGCAAATAATGCTTGTAAACAAAGAAAATGAATCTTCATATTAATCTTATTTTTTTTAAACCCACAAGTGTCCTACCTCCCCTTTGGCCAGATCAGTGGCCTCAGGCCATCAGCAGGACAAGATGAAAATGAATTCCTAAAAGTGAGTGGCTGTTAGATGGATGTTAATGTTACTTGTACTGGCTAAATATGAAGTTTCAGAAGAAATACTAATCTACACTATGAAGATTAATGAGGAAATGCTGGTTAAAGTACTATTTTTAAAGTTTACTCTTTAAACTTTAAACTCTATTTTTAAAGATTACTCTTGAGTTTTAAAAAGTTAACTCATTTTTTTTTTAAATTTTAAAAAGGACTGTATGTATGTCTTTTTAGAGAGGGGAAAGGAGGGGGAAAGGGAGGGAGAGAAATACCCACGTGAGAGGGAAACATCGATCCGCTGCCTCTCACAGGTGCTCCGCGCTGCTTGGAGTAAAAGGCCCGCAGAGCCTTCAGTGGAGCCAGAAAAAGAATGGCAATGAACACTGCACAGGGCTAATGGTGCGTTCATTTGTTCACGAGGAAATTACAGGGGGTATATTTATAATCAAATAAAGTTTAACTCTCCACCTCTGGATAATGAGAAGTTACTGTGGAAAGGTTGGTGAATTATGATAATAAACACAGCTGCGCTGATGCAGCTAACACAGGTGTGCGTGTTAGTAATGCTAATGACATCTGGCACTTTTTCTTCTTGCATCACGCCAGGAGATTCCCTCTGTAAGTGGGGTGCGCAGAGCCAAAGCCGTGCCCTCGAGGTTTCCTACAACAGTGCAGTGTTTCACGTAGTTATTTAATACCAAGTGAACTGAATCCAGGCTGTGTTTCATTGGGTACCTTCTGCAGTCCAAAATGATTAAGGTGCTGTAACGTATTTTACTCATGACATTGTCATAGGAATCCTGGATGGCTGGTATTCTCTGCCATTTTACAGATGAAAAGGCTCAGACTCAGAAAGAATGAATGATTCACACAAGGTAGTAAGCTTGTTAGCAATTTTAGACCCCTGTGTCTGAATGAGCAGTGGGCACAAATGGGTTTTGCTTGCTCAGCACTCTTCCCCCTCCTTGTGGTTCGGCTGGGTTGACTCTGCCACTCCCAGGGTTAGTGTGGGACCCAGGGCACCAATGATCAGGTCATCATGTCCTTCTTGGCACAATGGCCACAAGTGTCATGTGACAAAACCACAGCCTACCAGAGAGACCTGCCTGGCTTCTCCTGGAGAAAACAAGAGGGACTTTTTTCTGCTGCACTGAGATTTTGAAGGCAGACACCTATAATGGTTGGTGACCTCTTGCTACTGAAAGGAGACAGGCTGCTAAGAATGGGGTCAACACCGTGGAAAGGGGAGCTGAGAGATGGAGGGAGAATGGTCTTAATGACATCTTCGAAGTGTCTAAATGCAGACACCCCTCAACTCAGAGAACCTATTGACTTTTCCAGCATATAAGGAAAGGAATTCCTTTACTTCCTACTCTATTTAACTCAGGCTCCAAAGCTTAGAATCTTTCCATTGGGTCACACTATTTTAATTATCAGAAAAGAAACAACCTCCAAAAGGAAATAAATAAAATTTTATACAATAACAATTATACACATGATTTTGTTTATGATATATTCTCTAGCTTATCTAACTAGAAGTGATTTTTAAAATCATTTTAAGAGATTTTGAGTAAAAAAGACTTGAATAATTTTTCCATAGTGTAAATTATTATGTCATCAAATCTCATTGGAAAATTTCTCAAGACAGTCTATTATACATTAATAATAACTTACTTCTTAACATACTAGTCTAACCTGCCACCTTCATTATAAGTTACTAACAAATTATATGAATTAAGAGGCTTTGTAAAAACCAAGAAAGGAATCAGCCCATAAATATAAAACACATTTCATTAAGATTATTTCAAAGAATCAGATTATTAGTGATTATAATATTTCTCCACAGAATATGGCTCCGTGGCAGTGGACGTGTAAGTGAAGAAGAGAAGAGTCCAGGACACTGGCTCCTTCTAAGTCAATCTGATGATTGAAAATGTACATACATCAGGCAGACTAGAATAAACTAGGCCAGGCAGTTAAAAAAAGAGGTCCCAAAAGTAAAGGGGCTTTGCTTTTGTTTGGCTTTACACTGCTCATGCTGCATGTGCAGTGTGTTGGGGGCTCTGCTCCACGTGGTCACTCGGGGATGGAGGCATCCTCACCTGGTGCTGCCCCGCCTAGCAAGCCTGGTTCTGTAATCTGCTGCCGCAGAGGAAGTGAGAGGATGAAGGTGCTCGTGCCAGCTGTTAAGTATTTATGCTAGAAGTGGTGTACATACCTTCTGCTCCCAGCCTGAGGCAAAATTTGTCACAAACCCCAACTTTAACTAAAAGAGAGGCTGAAAGATGACAGTGAATCACGTGAAACATTTGAGCAGTAGCTACGGCTTCTATGGTATCCAAGAACAAAAGAGTGGGATGAAAGCCACTGTGCTCCTCTGACTAGGCTGTCATTACACAAAGTCATAGGGATATCTTCTATTTATCCATCTGTTTTGGCTTTTTAAAAAGTGAATGTCTACACCAGCCAACAGGCTGCAGTAAATGCAGACATTTACGATAACCAATGATCCTGGACTCTGTGTCACTATACCTGGTAACTGCATTGGAGGTGAACATACCTCGACTCAGTAATTGAGTGGTCATAACTGTGTCTGTGTGTTCAAGGCAGAGTTCAGTGGATGTCCAGCCTCGGTCTCAGGGGAACATGAGTGCGCTGGCTTGGTCTGCCTCATCTCGATGGATGTGAGAGAAGAGGGAATATTCACACCTAAGGAGTAATTTAAGAAATCCTACAGTGTATTTTTATTCAATTTGTTGGGGAAACTAACATTGGTTAAAAACATTTTATGTTTCAGGTGTTCTACTTTACAAATATGACGTCTGTATCCTTCATTGGTATATTTTTACAGAGCTCTGGATGACAGAAATTTTTGTCTTGTTAAGCAGTCTAAACTCTTAAAAGTGGCCTAAAGCTGCCAGTAGTTCTTAAAGGGAACTGTACTGTCCCTTGGGAGTGTTTTGAAATTTTTTTTTTGGTATCATGGTACTGTGTTTGGGGAGTTTTTTGTTTTTATCTATTAAAATAATTGGAAGGTTCTACTGGCATTTAGTAAGCAGGAGTCCTGCACCTCTTGCCATTCAAAATTCTCAACTAACATTTAAGTCTACCATTTTCTGAGCCTATGCAACCAAAATATGCCTTACATATATAAAAAAAATAGGGAATGGGGCTGGACTTTCATTTTTCTTAAATTTCCCAAGAATGTTACTATTATATAAATGGAGGGGAGGTTGCACTTTGCTTTGCTGTCTTACCAAAAATTGTTTATTTTAAAAATTCATGTTGCCCATGGTAACACTAATGATATTTGCATTCCTAATGACTCACCACATGCATGAAGCATCTGATGACATTACTGTATCTCCTAATGTGGTCATGCTGGCTTATTTATATATTTCAATACATATTATCTCTACCGCTTATCCTTAAAATATTGAATGTTTTTCAAAATTATAGAGTAGTCAATATCTATGAAATTGGTTTTAGAATTATAAAGGAACATTAAAATATTTTCTACGAAGGGGTGGATCTGCCAAGTTGAGAAGTCAGGGCAACATGATGGGATGTTTAAAAGTGTGGCATTTGGAGTTAAATGGCTCTGAGCTCAAGCCAAGTTCTGCTGCATCACCTCAGGCAAGTAATTTATCTTCTCTAAGCATTAGTTCTCTCACCTCTATAATGAGAGTACTACCTGTTACATGAATATTTTGAGGGCTGAGAGAGTTAGATGTTTAACTTAGTTCCTGGCCCTTAGCAAGCAATAAATAAATGATGCTTATTATTTCAGTTATCATCACGAATAAAGTTCAAAACTCAACATAAAACATGTAGAAGCCAAAGCCCCAGAATATGAGAGGTCTTACCCAGCCATGTCGAAATGGCTAGCTTCTTTTTTCTCTCTTTTCCATGGGGTGGGAAGGTGTCTGTTTCCTCAAATTCTAGCTTGGACCTAGCAAGTCGACGTGGAAAGTGAAAGTTTTGGCCTATCTGGATCGAATCTCTGGGCTTCTCTGTCCATATATTTCTGCCTTCATTTTTCCCCTTTAAAAAAACAGTTACTTATCTGAGCTCATGCTATCAGCTAACCACGCGCCAGCCACCCCGCCCAGGCTGCCATCTTGGGGGTGTGAAAGGGTGGCTCCACTGTTACCTGCCCTCAAGAGCTCGCTCTCTGAAAACAGTCAGCTCTGCTCTACAGACTGAAATCAGCTTCCACTTTGCTTTAGGGTCAGACATAATACAAGGTTTTAATGATCCCATTAGTAAAATATGCTCTGTGGTGATTAGCAGTCTAGACTAAATTGGGCAATTCTCCTCAGAGCCTTCTCTTCCTCCCAAATTTAGTTTCATATTGTAGCTGCTAATTGGACTAAAAAGAGACATTTCCAACTCCTAGCCTGAATCCTTGCAAACTTAAGACACACAACCTGGACTCTTTTTTTTCTTCCTCTCTGGTCACCTAAAAAACTGTGTGATGCCAAAGACAATACACTGAAGCTTGTGTTGGTAAAAATACCAAGTTTCTAGGTTTTTACCTGATTTTGATGTTGGAATAAGTACAAAGTAGTTCCAATGTCATCAGAATAACTAAAACTGATCTCTTATTTTTGCTTAACTTCCTGTTTTTTTCTCAACAGTTCGCCAGAACATTTAAGGGTTAAAAAAATTGAAAGAGGAAGGAGGAGGAGGAGGATTTCAAAAAGAAACTTTTAGAGCTTGCTCTTCTTCTTATCTGCAAACTGAAGACTATAAGAGGGAGCTCTGAGACTTTGTAAGGCTCATCCTTTTGAATACTCACCTTAATCAGTTTTAAGAAAACTGCTGCCCTTCATAAACAATATCATAATTCAGCTGCCTTCTCACTGGATAATTAGCAGTGAGTGATCATCTATCCCAGAGAAACAGGCATGAAGACACCATGGAGCCCCCAGTTGGGTTCCCAGTGATTACTAACTTCTCTGCACTCCAAAAAGAGTGAGAAGAGAGACAGAATGATGCTCCCTCATTCTGCATATTGGGCTGCAATGGACCCCTTCTCAAAACACAACATACCTATTCAACGAATGTGTTCTGAGCTCTTAATCACATAACAGGTGCTCTTTGAGGTCCTCGGCATACGGCAGAGAAAAACAAGGCAAAATTCCTGCCTTGGTAGAGTTAATATTCCAGTGGGAGAAGATAGACAATAAATGTGTAAGTACATGTGATATTGTGTCAGAAGGTGATAAATTCTGATAGAAAAAGCAGGCAAGGGTGTTGGGAGTGCCAGGAAAGCGAGAAGCAGTTTTAGGATGAACAGGGTGGACCCACTGGGTAGGTGACACCTGAGACTTGAAGGGAGTGTGCCATGGAGACCTCTGCAGGAAGAACATTTCAATCAGGCAGAGCAAAGCTTCCATGGAAAGCCCTGTTTGAAAAGCAGCACAGAGTTCAGTGCAGCTAAAGGGTGAGGGAGGGGCTGGTAAAGGTATGGCCAGGTTGGTCATGGCGACCAGATCCCATGGGGCCTGCAGACTCTCCTAAGGATTTGATTTTACTCTAAATTGGGAGTCACTGCAGAGTGTTGATGAGCGAACTGACATGACCTAAGTTTTGAAGGATCACTCTGGATGGAGAAAGGCCTGGGAAGGAAAGGAAAAATGCTTTCTCCTCTATCCTCTTTTGGTTCAATGGCTGGGGCCCTGCAAATCATACTAAAAAGAGACATTAACAGGAGAAAAGCATGTAATTTTACTTGATGTTAATTTTTATATGATGAGGGGAGCCTTCCCAGGAAAGAAGTGAAGACGCAAAGAAGTAATAAGCCTGAAAGCTTTAGCAAATAGCAATTGATCAAGACATTAAAAGACAAAGGAAAAGGGATTTTAGCCCCCCACCCAGGGGCTGCAAAGTGTGGGGAGGTAAATATGTGGTGGAAACTGAAGAAAATGGAAGAAAAGGGCTAGCTTAACCTTTGTTCATGCAGGCTGACCTGGGGACCAACTTTTCATCTTCTTCATGGCCATAAAGCTCCCCCAGGAGAGGGAACTCAGGGCAGTCCTCATTTCTCCAATGTTTGCTTTTAGTCAGGGAAGGGCTCCAGAAAGGCTTGTTTCAGAATCTGAACCTCAGATGTCTTCAGCGCAAAATACTCCTTCAGCCAAAGTGGCATATTTTGGAGTGGAATATTCTGATCCGCTTTAGCCTGAATGAGGACAGGGACAAGAGGCTCCAACAGTAACTCAAGCAGGAGATGGCAGAGGCGGGGACAGTGAGAACAGGGAGGGGGTGAGGGATGACTGGATTCTGGACAGGCTTTGATGGTAGAGCCAGGAAGGCTTCTAGTCATGTGGGAATGGGGTGTGATAGAGAAGAGCCTGGGAATACTCAAAAGTTTTAAAGGCCTGGCATTCACAATCATCTAGGCTAGCTGAGAGAATAAATGGTTCCACTTCAAATTTAAGTGTGTTATTTCTGGAATCCGTTTGGCTCTGTCGATAGAGGTTAGGAACATTTCTTCATCCCTAGAAGCTTCTAACTCCCCTTGAACAGTGGCCGTGCCAATGGGCCCACATGGTAATGTTCCATAGCAGCAACGCAGGATGCAACCTGTTTACGGTTTCCAGGTTTCCCCGCTGAGACAGACAAGGGCTCACCCTCAGAAGTCTTTGCTGTCTTTATGACCTTTGTGAGTGGACATTTGAGTGTAGAGGGTCAGTGTTCATTTTTTTAAATATAAGTGAAACCATTCACTCATTTTGTAAAGAATGTGAGCAAGAGAGGACATTTTCTCTTCATCATTGCTGTGGGAAAAATTCACACAGCTCTTGGACCTGCCAGGTTCTAGAAATTTGCCGACACCCTCATAGGGTGAAGAAGATGGAAAGGGAAGCCTTTTTGCCACCTGTGCCAGGCTTCTTTGCTGGCCTTGACCTGGGAACAACTGTCTGATCTTAAGAGAATCTCCTTGTCACAAAGAGGTGAGGGGAAAAAAATTATTGTTCTTAATACTTATGCTTCAAACTATTACAGCTAATTTCCATAAGTCACATGAGACAGAAGACCTGTCATTAATTTGGAGACAAAGAGGGAGAAGCCTCTGCCTTGGCCACTCTCAGATCCCCAGCATCTTGCAGAGTTCCTTGAACATGGTAGATGCCCAGATGCTAAATGAATGAATGTAAGGGAAGATGTTACCAATTTCCTCCTAATTTGCTAATTTCCTCTAATGTAATAGCAGAATAAGGTAAAAAGAGCTCAACTAAGGGTCACCGTGATGTGAACGTAGAGGGAAGGGAGCTAATGCTCATTGAATACGTGCTACGTGCCAGAGGCCAAATCAAGAACTGCCCACCTATTATGTTACTTAACCCTTTTCACAATTTACTGTAAGTTACATATCACCACTCACTTTTTACAAATGGAGAAACCAAGACTCAGACAATTTCGGTAACTTGTTCAAGCTCACTCTGCCTGCTTTCAAATGCTATGCACATCACGCTGTACTCCGCCCTCCAAAAACTCACAGACTAGGGATTGAGGTATGTGTTGTTGTTGATTATGATGATGACTGAGAAGTTCAGGAAATGCTTTCTGGAAAAGATAGTATTGCAAGAGAGAGTGGACTTTGGATAGGTAACAATGTAGGGAAAGTGCCAAACCCATGGACCAGAATGATGACAGAAGGCATGGAAAGTGTCTGGAGAGTGTGTCAGAGGAGCGCCAGT